CAACATCGAACAGTAACGATGCCTGCCGCTTGTTCATCAGATGGCCATCTGATGAACGTTTTGGAGCGTCCACAAGCGTGTGGATGTACTACGAGTGAGTGCGATGGCCTCACTTGTGGTACGGTCGTTAGTACGACTGCACAAAACCTTAGTGTACCAAATGGTTACACTTCGGAGCAAAGTTCCGGCGGCTGTGAGGAAACACAGGCTGCGCCGAAGGTCCACCACTCGAATAAGTCGAGTGGACCGGGACAAAGATGTATCCCTAGCGGGGAACATCCAGAAGAGAGACAATCGATCGCTCAGGTTAAGCGAAACGATAATCCTAGATCGACTGGAGAGTCTTTCGTAGAGGATCTCGCTGTGGTTGCACAACCACAACTAGAGGATGTAAAGGGAATAAGGTCCGATGTTACAGATACGGCGGAATAAGTTCCCCGAAACCCGAGGGAATAAGTCCCCGGGAAGCCGAAGGAATAAGTACTTCGAAGCCTGAGGGAATAAGTCCCCAGGAAATGACAGAGACATTGAATGTCATAGTCAATAACGGATCAAGTGTAGGCGCTTATACACTTGATCTGATTGCGCCTCCGAAGTTAACTTCGGAGATCACTCAGTTGCCAACGCTCGAACATAAAAGGTTCTTGCGTGATCTGCGTAGTGGCAAAGTCAAGCAGATCTGCATACTCGTCGCTGACGACGAGTGTGTAGCCGACATAAGGTCAGCAACAGTGTTCAATGAGAACGAGAGAGGTCTCAGTAGTTCATCTATGGACGAGAGTGTCCTAGATGAAAAGACACGAGTTGAGCGATATGACTCCCAATCGTGGGAATCGCTCAAGACAAATCCTCTCTATGAAGATTTGGTTGAATTCAAGGATGTATTCCCTGAAACTGTTCCGTGCGAATTACCGAAGGATATAGGTATTCGACACGAGGTCGAGCTTAAACCAAGCTCGAAGTACTGTGTCATGAAGCAGTGGCCAGTGCCTCGTGAACAAGTACTTGCGATCGACAAGTTCTTTGCCGATCGTTTAGCTGCGGGCCATGTGAGGGAATCAACTTCCCCACATAGCTCTCCGATCTTCTGTGTGTGAAAAGCAACAGGAGGGTGGCGGATAGTGCACGCATTCAATAAGTTGAATGCTGCAACGGTACCGGCTCAGACGCCGATACCAAGGAAGGACGTAATCATTGATGGTATGTCAAAGAGTACCATCTTTTCCTCCATGGATTTGATGGATGGCTTCTATCAAATCCTTATGCGAGAACGGGATATACCCTATACCGCAGTTAGCACGCCTAGCGGCATGCTCTGGGAATGGCTAGTAATGCCACAAGGGCTAAGTAATGCCCCTGCCACGTTCAACAGATGTGTATCACATCTGTTGAGACCAGTACGAGAATTCGCGCCGAGTTATTTCGATGACGTATTCATCCATAGTCGGGATATGGATGGAAAGTCGGACGTTGAGGTTCACAGGCACCACGTCCGACAGGTTCTTACAATTATGCGAAAGCATCAATTGTATGCAAACCTCAAGAAGTTTATATTTGCAGCAAGCGAAATACCACTTCTTGGGTGCATCGTTGGTAAGAACGGTGTACGTCCTGATCCCGAAAAGATCAAGGCGATCACCGACTGGCCTGTGCCAGTCGACGTCAAAGGTCTTCGAAAATTCCTTGGGCTAGCGGCGTATTTGCATAAGTATTCACGCAATTACGCCGAGATGACTGTGCACCTCTCTCGTTTGTTGAAAAAGAACGAGAGGTGGTTATGGAACGCTGAATGTCAGCGCTCCTTTGATGGTATCAAGCAGAGCTTGATACAATCCCCAGTCCTAGCAATAGCCGATTAAGACAGGCCATTTCATGTGGTCTGTGATGCCAGCGATTTCGCAATCGGCTGTGCATTAATGCAGTACGATCTTGAAGGCGTTGAACGCGTCGTCTGCTATCAGTCGCGTCAGCTGCAACCAGCTGAGCGGAACTATCTAGTGCATAACAAGGAACTCCTAGCCATGAAGTACGCACTCGCGAAGTTCAGACCCTATCTATTAGGAGATAGACCCTTCATTGTTTACACTGACCATGCGTCATTACGCACGGCAGTGAACAGCCCGCACCTTTCACAACGAATGGCGTGGTGGTTGTCATTCTTTGCGGAATACAACTTTACGGTCGAGTACAAACCAGGACGACTTAATGTCGTCGCTGATGCACTCTCACGTCGTCCCGACTTTGAAACAGTCGCGAAACCCAACAGTGAGACAGTCACTGTTGCGGTTATGACGTCCTCAGTCCCATCTACAACGTTGTATGATGATGTGAGGCGGGCATACGCCCAAGATGGTGAGATAGTGAAGTTGTTGACACATCTCTCCCAACCATCCCGAGAATCGTTGAAACGATTGTCGCCTGCGTATCGATCTGCATCAGATCGATACACTACTCGTAACGGTTTACTGTATTATACAGCCGTTTCTGGTGACACACCACGTGTTGTCATTCCAGATGATACTGATCTGCGTTTGCGGATCATGTTCGAGTATCACGATGCTCCTATAGGAGGACATCGTGGCCGCGAGAAAACATATCTCACGGTAAGTCGAGACTTTTACTGGCCCCGCCAGTATCAGTTTGTGCGAAAGTATGTTCGCGCATGCGAAGTCTGTCAACGAGTGAAGTCAAGTCCTTCACTGCGTGCACCTTTACAGCCTCTACCGGTTCCGGCAGAGTGCTGGGAATCCATCTCAATGGATTTGTCTTCGGGTTACCCAAAGACGCACGCGGGAATACGGGTATTCTCGTATTTGTTGACAGATTCAGCAAAATGGTACACCTTGTGGCTGTACCAGAGACAATCACGGCAAGTGGCTGTGCTTGTGCCTTTATTGACACCATCTTCCGACTTCATGGGTTGCCCCGTGAGCTCGTATCAGACAGAGATCCACGATTCACTGCTGATTTCTGGCGTTCCGTGTTCAAATCACTCGGAACGCGCTTCAAGATGTCAACATCTGATCATCCAGAGTCAGATGGTCAGACGGAACGTGCCAATCGTGTCCTTGAAGAGATACTTCGAGGATACGTACGCTCCTTTAAGAGTTGGAGTGAGTTTTTGCCAATGGTAGAGTTTGCCATCAACAACTCGGTGCGTGCGTCCACGTCACATACACCGTTTTACGTGAATGGCTTGCGCCATCCGCGTGTACCCACCTTACTAGAGTGTAACTCTGGTTTAAGGGGGGGAGGGACTCGCGCGAGCAAAAACCGATTTGGTTCACGCTCATCACGCTCTGAAGATGAGGTCATTGCGTTTGATGCCGATATCGATAACATCGATATCGAAGAAGATGATGCCAGTGAGAGTGCGGAAGCCCTCACTGAAGAAAAGGTTGATGTTGCTGCAGTGCACTCACAGCGCACTGAAGCTAACGAGTCATCAGATGAGCTCATACTGGCTCGTGAAACGGTAGTCCGTTTTGTGCAAGACTCCATCGCCGAAGCGGTGGATAAGCAAAAGCAAAACGCTGACAAGAATGGAAGGGCAAACACTCTTTTATATAATAAAGGTGACTTAGTCCTACTGTCTACGGTTAATCTACCAAAGCATGTAGTGACTAACATGGGTAGCAGTAAACTACTACCCAAGTACATCGGCCCTTTTCGTGTATTGCACCGCCTAGGCAATGCATACACGATCGAGTTACTACGTAAGATGCGAACGCATCCCACGTTTTACGTTGGTCGGATTAAGCCGTACCATCAGTACGCTGCTTCTTCCGATGAAGAACGCCCTTGCGCTCAAGCATCTCGCAGAGAGCCTTGTGATCCCGATGGTGGGCATCGACAAGGGTCTGAAGAGCAGGTATCTCATCCCGAGACCGATCAACAATCCCACGAGCTACCCTTAGCTCGTCACGAAGAGATGTCAGAGATCTCTCGTTCTCAAGCTGAGCAAAGGCAAACTCAGCTCGATGCTTCAAGGCAGTGTCCGCCATTTGGAGACGCCTGTCCCGCTCATGTTCGAGATCGTTGCGTAACCCTTGCGTTACGCGATCAAAGAATCTCTCGGGAACACACGGATCCCCATGATCGTGTGGAGAACGTCCTCCCTCCTCCTCCACCTCCATTAGAGGACTCTCGCGGTGGCCAGCGCTATCTAGTTGAGCAACTGTTGAACCACCGCGACGTGAACGGACGTCGGACGAGTTATCTCGTACGGTGGCGCGGCTATCCCCCGTCTTGGGATACTTGGGAGCCCCGCTCCCAACTGATGATCGACGTACTGGGTCTGGTTGAGCAGTACGACGCGGCACATCCTGTGCCGCAGAAGGACCGCCGGAGAAAGTCTTCCCGGCACGGTCGTAAAGGGATTTCAGGTTGTCAATCCCTTCGTACATCTCAGTAAAGATACGTACGCGCCACCACGGGCTAGTAAGGAGGTAAGCCTCCTTAGGTGCTCGTGCAGAGTTGTTCACACAACGTGTGCACGAGTCTCCCCAAGAGAGGCAGGGTAATCCTTTCTATCTTGACAGACGATGCAGCTTGTAGCGTGCACCTGTCGGGGTTCGCTTTTCAAACTTATCACGAGCTTTGATAAGTTTGTCGTTCCAAACGTCACGACCTACATCCTCAAGGTTATGGATGTAGGCGTTCCACGCTTGAAGCAGTGAGGGGCCATCACGCTTGTGATTCCCACTGTACCATCGATGATTAAAGAAAGCATCGATAAAGAAATCATTCTCAGCGCGATAATTTTTCGCACTGGGGTCAAGGTGATGGATCCTTGACGAATCGAACAACCGTGTTCGATAACGATCACTCGTCGTCGCCGACAAGTGATCCATGACTGATTTTGGAGGCATCCATGCCTTCTTCTCAGGAGCGAGACGCAACACACTGCGGTCCCGCTCTTCCTGCGATGTGCCGACAGAAGTACTGGCACCTCGCTGTGAAGTGGTGTCAATAGGAGAACCGACACCACTGTTAGCGCCCTAGTCTCGCGACCTCGAGCGCCTTCGCTTCGGCGATGGTTCATCTGATTCATCAGATGAACCAAAGATGCTAGGACGCATAGCATCATCCATGCCACGCTTGGCAGGCGGCTTCGATTCAATCGCCGTCGATACGGTTCCGTCATCCGTATCTGGAGAGTATGAGACACCGAGCTCGTACTCTGTGAAGACACGAGTGTCTTCATGACCAGCGCCTGCATCACCAAGTGACACAGGCTGGGTCGCTTCAGCAACCGATGAGACATCAGTTGCTGTGGTTTATACTTCGGCGTCCGCACAGAGACGTACAGACGCGCTCTCGGCGGCCTTGCTCGCGCATCGCATGGGCTTGTTTACCATGCGATGAAATGTTGGAAAGTGGACGCGGAGCAACAAGTGCAAACCCTGTTCCAAATGATTTGGGACGAGTATCCATTTAGTCAATCAGTCACTAAAGTGACTGATGGTTAAGGGGGGGGTGATGTAACGGGGTGAATCGTTACATAACAATTTAAAAGAAATTGTTAATAGAATACAACTATAAGAGTTATATTCTCGGAATATTGTCATAAGGACAAATATTCTGTAGCACTTACGAGTTGTTCCTAATTGGTTGATATAGGCCATTATATCAACCAACGAAGACGCGCCACGACAGACGCACGCAATGAGTGGTGAGCAGATAACTGATATGTACATTTGTATTTAGACATAGTTAGATGAAGATAAATAGTGATTTATTGCAGACATTAACTATTATAAATACAGTCCTACTTTTTACTTTAACCAAGTACTCGCTTCTTCTTACCGTCTTCCTCTGCACGTACGAGTGTACGTGAAGTTACGAGGCACCGCCTTATTCTGTCATCAGAATAAGTAGCTTGTACTGTCACCAGTACAAGCTTCAGGGTGCCCCGTTACAGCTTTGCCATAACAATGCTTGGGTCAACAGGCACTGGGAGGAATTGAGTGCGAGGACCTCCATCAGGTGGGAAGACGATAAATTTGTGATTTCTTGTCACTATACCTTTCCACAATGTCCATTAAGTGATGAAGACATGTCGGGCGTCATACGGAGATTTTGGTCCACGTTTAATTGGAGTGCAAACCCATTGATTCGCGATCACAGAGGTGACATGAAACGGGGCACTGGTCACTAGTCCTGCTTCAGTATTCGTGCACCTACGCTGACAGCAGTGTAGGTAGTTCCGCGCGTCACGTCACGTATACCGTGTATGCAAAGGAAGTCTAGCTAGTGGACGACGCGTTCCATAGGAGTAGAAAGTATAAAAGGGATAAATATAATGAAGCCCTAGTCATTAACCTGTGTTTATTCCTAACTTAATTATAGTGACCGCCTAGGCGTACACCCCCTAACAACTACGCGCACCCCCCCCCCGTGATGTCGAATTTTTTTCTCACACTAAATGCGAGCTATCCTCCATTCAATCCTGTAATCTCTCTGTTCCTTGCTCTTCCGGCAATGCTAGCATTACCATCCGAGCATACTTATCCTTCACTTGATGATGCTCAGTTGGCAGTAGAGATATTTGTACTTGACCAAGGCTACGCTGTGGGGGGACGGACTACTTGACATCGTGCAGACACGTGTCGCTACCTATTGAGTCAATCACGAGCCCCAGGTTCACGAGCCCCAGGTTTACTACATACCCCAAGCGCGTGCCGACAATCGGTTGCTCCATCACCACCGACGGCGCGTGACTCTTTCGACTGGAAAAATGGATCTCTTAGCTGATAAACAATACCACAGAAAAAAGAGAGACACACGAGAGCGTAAGCACGGGCCACGCCGCAGACGGGACAGCATCTCACGTACCAAGACGCGAGCGGGGCGCGCAGGTGTAAAAGCGACGCGCTCTTGAGGCGCATCGTGTACGGCAGCGTGCGCTCGAACAGCTGCCAGCGCGCGGCGTCCCAGTGCAGCAGCTTATGTAATTTTTCTTAGCAGCCTATCGTTGTCGATACGAGAAAGCTTTTTATACTCCGTAATGGTCACATATCTGTGCAAAGCGGCGAGCAAAGCGTCCAGGGCTGCAGATTAATGAATGAATTTTACAATCGGTGCCCATTCGGACACAAATTTATCTGCCGATGTCGTATGATCGGTAAATGCGCTCCCTGATAAGACCACAGAGATGTGACATGCTGATCAATTTCCCAATTGTCCAAACACTTAAAGGACCAGCGAAGACGCTCTGTCGACCGTTCAAGTCTCGCCAAATCGATTCGTATGGTCCTCTTGCAGTTGTTTGATGTTGTCAGATGGCCACTGTCGCCGAGTAATAAATTGCTGTCTGCTTCGGTGTCGCATTTGTCCAACACTCCGTCGTCGCCCCTGCTTTCCCCTTTTTGTCAACAATTGGATGCAGTTTGTACTAAAGTGATGTGTGCATCCCACGTCTGAGCAGTCGGAGCTTGTTCCACACGTAAATTACCAAGTTTCGTCAATAAGTTATTCAGATCGCGATCCGGTCGGTTAATCTGTATGATATATGCTGCATGGTGTCGCCGAGTACGTTCCGGATCAACTTGCTTAACCCTTGAATGTATTTCTTTCTGTTGGTGATCAGAAGAGTGATAGGGTGGCGTAGTCTTAAGCCTTATTACATCATGCGTCTGTTAGCTAATACGTAAAAACGACCAATTCGACTAAAGTTATCCTTGGTCCAATGCGCGAAGGGATCAATCGTAATCGCCGTATCTTAATTCTGTGCATGCTCTTGCAGAAGATGAGCATCACTCATCCCATAGCTGGTGAGAAGCCTGTCCGAAGCTAGGCTCATGGACCTACTGGAAGATAGTGGCCCCATTCAGTTCAACTGGAGACCTTGCACACCATAAAAAATTCCAGAAGAACGGAAGAAACTGAAGGCATGTTTCAGTCTTGATGGCTGTCAAATATTGGATTTCTCTCTGGCCGGTCATTTGTTGCATACACATTAAGATTTAACATGTCATGAAACGATATTTCGATAGCTCTCGCATTACACCATTCCTCATTCCAGACAGCCAAGTGTAATGCAGCCTGTGCGTGAGTTAAATAGGAACTCAACTCGACCTGGAGGATTTGTAGTTCCAGTATCAATCTGTACCTGGTTCGTGTCATAGTCTTGACCCCACATCCAGCGCCACTCTAGACGAGGCGTATTTACTTTCCACGGTCGCGACGTAAGTTTATTGAGTGCACCATGCAAGAGGTCGTTGTCTTACTGTTGTCCAGCTCCATGCTGACATCCGGAGAAGCCTTGTGAATTTGGAAAAGCCTCGGACAAAGCGGCTGGTAATATGTCGATCAGCAGCAGAAAGACCCGTGTGAGTCGTTTTGGACAAGCGGTGATCATTTAATAATTTGTAGCGTCCATTCCAACCTGAAGTTGACATCTCCGACCCGTACAGACTTGAAGCTACTGAAAATCGTGCGGAGCTTTTAGAACTGGATAAGACTTTTCTCCTCCTGTAGTCTAACCCAGAGCAGAAAATTTTGTCAAGTAGACGCCAGTTGGTATGGTTGGATGAGTCGTAATACGCTTCCTTGTATATCGTATTGGGCAAGAGAAGCTGAATGTGCGATCGCAGCTTGGCCGATGTCCCCGTATGCATCGGCAAACCATAAGATAGAGCTGCAAAAATCAACGTTCGTGTACGAGTGCATAGAGCAAGTACTAAATAATGCTAGTACGCCGTTCTGATACACTAAGACGAAGAACATTGTCTCCTTAATACTGTTGACTACTGAATAAGTTCCAGTCGTCCCTGTTGTCTATCAGCGGTGCGAGCAACGATGTTGAATCACGGTACTAAACGTTCAATGCACCCATCTACCCATGTTTGCATAGTGAGATCCAGGAGCTGTTGTTGATATGCCTATAACTCTACAAGAAATCAATCGCGTCGCCGTCCGGTCATTCACTGCGTTATAACAGACACATCTAAATACTTCAATAATCCTCCAGGCAGCGCGAAACGCTTGGACAGCTGCAAGAATTTGTCTGGCGCGTATGGAGACACTCTTTTCAACTCACTGGTAGAATACGCATCATTATATTTTAAAAAGGGTTGTTTACACCTAAAGAGAAAGTGTTAGTCCTGAAAACGACATGGGCAAATGCGAAATAACGGGCGCGGCGCAATTCTAAATCAGAACGAAAAAATCGAAGTGAAAGTCGGAAGTAGCGGCTCCATAGCAGGCGGAAGTGTCGCACTTAAGCGGAACGATTGGGTGGTCCATCTTGAAGTACAACAGCAACTCGAACGGCTTGAAAAGACAAGTACAAACTTGAATGTCATGAAGCCATTCCGCAAGATGAACAGCTTGCAAAGACACAAGTCTTGAAAATTTAAAGTTATTCCACATAGAACAGCTGCAGCTTGAATAGCTTGAAAAGACTGGGAAAATCCTTAAAAATTTTGAAGTTATTCCGCAAAGAAAAACCGCAACTTGAACAGCTGGAAAATACTTGAAAATTTTGAAGTCATTTCGCAAGAAGATAGTAGGGATCTTCGGAAAAGTCGCGATCCCATTCATCACTGAAAGCAAGAAGCTGAGCCTTGAGTCGAATGTTGTCCTTCTTTCGCGGGGGCGTCATCCTCTTGAAAAATGCTGAATATGAAGGCGAACCATGGTCAGACATTGACGGAAAACACCCATAAATTTTAGAGCAGGGGGGTCGAAAATCGCCGTGTTGCGATTGAGCCAAAGCGTCCGTAAAATAACACTGCGGACCATGTTGAAGATTCGAACCGGAGTTAGCGAGCCAAACCGATCGTGGCGACGCACCGGAACGTCCAAGTTAAGCAGAAACAAAACTTAGGGACAGCCGATCGTAGACTGGAAAATTCTCGAAAATGGTGGAAGAAATAATAGCCACAGACGCTTGGCCATATAGCAATCCCATAGTAAATGATGGGTTGTTTCCGGAGTATCACAACCGTGAACATAATAAAAATCCGCCGTGTGCCATTGGTACTCGTATCGGAAACCAAGCTCATTATGCTGGAGCCGAAAGACGAAGTCAGAATGGAATGGCATAACATCGCGTTGGAGCAGCCGTTAGAGCTCCCAACGGGGAGACCCAATAACCACTTCAGGAATCGGAAGCTGTAGAAGTGGAAGGGGGGCGGCTCTTGATCAAGCAACATGCGCTTGATGACCCGGTTTGATACTGTGGCAATGTCAATACCATCGAAAGTCCACACATGAAGTACGGCGACCATCCTTTCAGGCGGCAGCGGAAATATCGCAAAATCTTAATAGTGTGAGGGTAAAGCAAGTCGCGGAGCCAGTTTTTGTACCAAACAAGTCATCGAGCGGCTCGGCTTAATTGAAGAGGAAGCCAAAGAAATTCGAAGAGTATCTTCATTCGGAAGCAAGCCGAAAACGGAGAGAAAAGTCGAAATCCTTGTAACACCTTGATGACTGATAAGATTGCAGGCCTTCCGATGGAGCACTGCAACTGTCCGCTTGTCCTCCGTAAACCGAATGAATAAATTATTCCAAATCGGCCACGTAAGCTTGGTCAAAACTGGGTTCATACTATGAAGCTTGGGAAAAATATTGGTGCTCCAAGTAGCAATATCAGCCTTCAAGTAGTCGGGAATGGCGTGCCAGCGAGAAGATTGAGCCAAAGGAGAAAGAGGGATATAGAGAAAATCCAAACCCGAACCTTGACCGCCATAAGCCGATTCAATCGCAGCTTGAGCAGGAACAAACCACTTGGGCGGAGTAGAACAGTCTTGACGGCTTTGAAGAATTAACTGCCGGACGAGATTAATTTGAAGGAGTTCCACCGACTTTGCAATCGAAGGCAACTCAAGGCCGCCCAAAAATGCGTCCACGAGGCACCAAGCGCTTGGAAATTGACTCCTTGAATCTGGGTCTGTCACCGTACTTGATAGGGTACAATTGATGAAGTTCCACATGAGCGGATTGAGCTTGAGCAGATCTTTATTCGACACGGCCACAGTACCCAAATGTCATAGTGTCGAAAGAATCATAGTCTTGAGAATAAGCACTCGACCCCGCATGTTAAGAGCACGACAACGCCAAGACACACAGAGCTTCTGCTCCTGAACAAGAAGCTGTGAAAGTTGCAGCTGTGGCATAAAAGCCGGCCCAAACGTAACGCCCAATAGTGTAGTGTGCTCTTCATTTGTGAGAGTTCGAACGCTCAAACCCCGAAGCCGATCTTGAAGGTTGATGTCTGAAGAATTCCATGGCCGAAAGGGAAAGATGACTGTCTTGTCCACATTAAGTCGCATGCCAGTGGCGGCACAGAAAGCTTGGACACGATCCAGAAACGTGGGGGCATGGAAGAGATTGTTCACCAAACCCGTAACATCATCAGCAAAACTGACGAGCTGAGGTATTGCGAATCTTGATGGCAGAAAAATCTGTAGTTGCCTGCAGGTAGCACAGCAAAGGATCATTATGGAGCACAAACAAAACAGGCGATATTATATCCCCTTGGTGAACACCGGCTCCCAAGCTGAGGAAGCCCGAGCGCGAAGAATTAATAAAAACTTGGACCAGTGTACCCCAAAAAAAGTCCTTACCCAATATTGTAAACTGAACCCGAATTTTCAATGTTGAAGAACTTGATACAAGGATTTCCAGCTGAAACTATAAAAAGCTTTGGCAAAGTCGAGGCAAATAGCGCCGGCGGGATCTTGTAAATTAGTCCGTCTGCATTGATCTTGAAGGTCATGAAAATATCGAAGCTCGTGCCGGATGTCACGTCCAGGCACGATACCAAATTGAACCACCTCCAGCAAACTGGGCAAACCTTGGCTAAGGCGATAAGCCAATGCTTTTAGGCCGAGCTTGGCATCTTGATTCAGCAAAGTCAAGGACCGATAGTTCTTGGGGTCCGATCTTGATCCCTTCTTAAAGTGTAGAGAGATGTAGGCGCGGCGTTGAAACTTGGACATACGACCTTGCCGGGATTGAGCCGCATAAATAAGCTCCAAGACTTGAGCTTAATTGGTAGGAAAAAGCTGGTAGTACTCCGCAGGTAATTCATCTGGATCCGGCTACTACCCACGAGCGGTATGCTGAATAGCATAAAACATTATTAGCCGTAAGCGGCGCCTCTTCAACTCACTGGTGGAGCTAAAAGAGGTGGTGTAACGGGGATACATGGCGTTTGTTGATCGGGTTATGTTGTGCGTCCACACCAAGCAAAGATCGATGTATCTGAGTGGTACAGTCTTGTTACCATTTACTTACGGTAATACCGCACATTATAAGGTAGGGATAAGGGATACGACTTCTGTCATAGGATATCAATGTAGAAGACAGCAAGACAAGTTCTATGGTTTTGTTAATGTAGTTAAAGAATTCATAAAGATCGTTTCCCCTTTCGAATCGCTGGACAAAAGTGTCTAGTAAAGGCGTAGTGTGTTGCTGAGAGAATTAGCCTTGTAAAGGAGCTTACTCTTGTTTAACTAGCAGCGACCAGTTAGTGCGTGATTTTGTGAAGCACAATTATTTTAGAACCGGAATGTTGAGCTTGTACGCTTAAACGACTGTACGTCGTTGTTAGTTTATTATATCTACGAGACGCTTCAGTCTAAGACTTCCTTTGTTAAGGAGAGCTAAGTAGCTCCGCTACACTTGGTTGCGCTTGGTAGTCAATCTACACCTGAGTCTTCACAGACTGAATCCTCTGCAAGGATGGAAACGGCCGTGATCATCTCTGAGGCCCAGCAGACCACGCTTGAGAAGCTCAAGGCGTTGATCGGGCATGAGCAAGTGGCTCTTATAATGGCGCAAGGCCCGGAAGCACTTCATATACGTCTCGAGGCCTCTTCGACCTTTGAGTCTCGTTGGTCGGACAGTTCCATGACCATTTGGCATCTGCCATGCCCACTCGGTATTTTCCAATACCGGACACTGAGTCAAGAACTCGTCCTCTAGTCTGTAGTGTCAAGACTTTTAGGGTAAAAGAGGGAGAAAGTCTGCTTTTGTGGGTTCGAGAGATGGAGGGTGCCATCAGCTTGGCCTTGCTGCAGTCAGATCAGCAGAAGGTGGTCATCGGCGTATCTAATCCAGGTTGGAGAGCCAGATAGTGAGCCTTCACTTGTGGCACCTCGATAGAAGAGGATTTCCCACCTGAGATATGCTCAAAAAATAACACCGTCGGGTATTTTCCCCACCTAATCATGCATATCGCATACGATCACGCTTCCTGTCAGCCCTCCAGGGTAAAAAGGACTTGGTTGATTTTGACTAGGAGTTGCAAAATCTGATTTCTGCTATGCAACTTGACCCTTTACCTGAGACGGTTCTAGTACCCTTTTCATGGAGGGTCTCCGCACTGGAGTCGCAAGAACAGAAGTGTTTCGTGCCCAAATCTTGACATTTGAGGGGGCAGTGTACATAGCGATAAATGTAGAGTTCAACTTTAGAGCTGCCCGCTACAAAACTCATGGTCTCCAATTGAAGTTTTCGAGCAATGCTCATTTTATATATAGTGCAGAACCCATGGACTTTTGTCTCGCTGAGAGAGACGAAGAAGCTGATCTTTACGCTTTTAATCAGCATTTGAACAACCGTAAATATTTTACGTGCGGAAGCATTAAAAAAACTTTGTCCCAATTGTCCTTTGAATAGGACCATACAGACTCATTCAAGTCAATCTCTGGACACTAACCGACGAATTATGAAGGCGTGGGAAAACGTCGAGTCCCAGTAAGCGCAGGAGACCCTGCTGATTAGGATATAGGCTCTGATGTACCTCTGAGAGGTGATGGAGAACTTTTCCTACCTCTAAATGGCTTTGTGAGCAATGTCACGAAGCATGAGTGCAAGTCAGACTTATTAGTTGCAAAATCAACGGTGAAGGTCTTCGACAAGCCATGATCGGTAGTCATCGACTCCGGGGCGCATGGAAATGACGTCCGATGTTTATTACTGCAAAAAGTCAGCAGTATGCTGAGGCGCTGAAATTGTAAAAGTGTGAGACTATCACTGTTCCCTTATCGGCAGGTCCATTAGCTACAATGCCTAAAGTTCCTTTAGACTTAGTCGTACAGTTTTTGGACTTTGACAGTATCAAACGCTGTCTAGCCCTTGACTTGGGTGAGAGGTATGATCTCATCATTGGTATGGTTTGGCTAAAATGCCATGATCCAAGGATTGACTGGAGGTCAAATACGTAGGAGCAACGCGCACTGTTCTTAGTGCAGATTTGAAGCGTCATGAGCCAACCTCTGCTAGGAAGCTGGAACGCAATTGGCGCGAGCCACGGAATGAGACAGTTAGTGTGCTGGGACATCGGTATGTCTAACTGATTGAGTTGGACGATGTCAGAAAAGTTTGTTAAAAGCAAAATTGTTGGCCGTTAGTGAAACGGCACGTAATCCATCAAGTGATAATAGTTGTGATAACGAATCACTGCTAATGCATTGTCGGACTAAAGCCAATTCATCATGGGTTGAACCCATCTAGTGAGCGTGGAGTGGCACGTAAGTACCCAGTGAGTAATTCTGGCCGTGATTGCGACACACTGAATATCAGTCAAGACATTGTAGCTGAAACACCAAGTCATTACTGGCTAGGCCCATTATATGAGCGTGGAGTGACAAGTAAGTAACCACTGGGTGGTGATACCACCGGAAGTGACTCATCATTAGATGTCGGTTATGGCATCGGATCTGATACAGATCAAATTAATGATGACACAGATCGTCACCTCGGGGACAGTGTAGTCATAGATGTCGGTAATGACATCGGCCCTGATATTAAGAAAATTAAGGTCTACGCAGTTCGTCACCTTATGAGCTGTATAGTCCGGATGTTGGTAATGACATCGTCTCTGGTACCGGGAAAATTGGGTTGATGATCGTGTTAACCTTGGGGACATTGATGTCCCGGGTGTCGGTAATGACACCGGCTCTTGTACAAAGGGCGTCTGATTTTGCTTTTGATGGCGCATTATTGCAGATAGATGTCGATGGACATGAGCATGTCATTGCGTATGAATCTCGTCAGCTATAAGATTCGGAGGAGAAACTTCCAGCTCACGAAAAGGGGGCTAATTGCAATGAATTATGCTCTTGTAAATTTTTGAGTCCATCTCCTTTGCTTGAAGCCTTTCGTAATCTACACAAATCATGCATCATTGCGCACTGCGACACAGTCGCCTCACCTTTTGAAGAGTATGAACATTTGGCTTTCATTCTTTGCTGAATACAACTTTGAGGTGAATGTATAAGCCGGGAAGCAAAACGATTTGGCCGATACATTGTCACGCAGACCTGTATATGAGCTTTCTCATGTTAAGACTCTGTAGTCATCCACTGTGGATTTAATTTGTGCGCATATGCACGTGATGAGAAATGTGTAGCACCGTTAAATGCTCTTAGGAGCAATGAGTTTGAATACTCAAACATCATATTGTCGGAATGTTTAAGCGCTAGCCTACATCGATATGCCATCGATCGCGGGTTGTTGTTGTCTATAACATGGGTGTTAAGGATGTGCCTCGCATTGTTGTTCCCCATGATGAGGACTTGTAGTATCGTTCCCTCTTTGAGACACATGACACTGCTTTGAGCGGTCATATTGGCCGTGAGAAGACATGTAGCTAAGTTAGCTAGTCGTATTGGTGGCCCAAATTGTACGAATGGGTGATCACATATGTGCGTACATTTTAAACGTTTCAACGGGTCAAACTCTCAGCACATGCGGTTGCACGGCTTGCTAGTTGCCCGTACCGACTGAGTGTTAGGAGTCCAACAGTATGGAATTTGTGTTTGGCCTGCCGAAATATTCGGACAGCAACACTGATATTGTGGTCTTTTTTGCTGACTGTTTGGGCAAGATGGCTCATTTAGCGGCTGTGCCGGATTCCATCGATGGCGAAGGTACAGCAAAGCTTTTTATCGACCGTGTTTTTCGTCAACACGGTTTGCCTGTAGAAATTGTCTTGGATCGTGATCCACGTTTCACTAGAAAGTTTTAAATTCCATCTTCAAAGTGCTTGGCACCAGGTTGGAAATGTTCACAGCGGATCATCCACAGACCGATGGTAAAACTTAGCGTTTCGACCGTGGCATTGGTGACATTTTGCGCGGTGTTTTTCCTGATAAGCCTAGGCGTTGGAGCTCGATGCTCCCGGTGGTCGAGTTTGCGCTAAATAGCGACTTTTACACCTCTACTGGCTTTACTCCATTCTACAAGAATGGTCTCACTAACCTTTGAGTTCTGTTAAGGCTACCACAACATTACTCTGGGCTTGGTGGGAGAGGAACAGCCGATCGGCTTGCTGCTATCAGCCTAATTATGTTTCAAAAACAGTTGAGCGATTTTCACGCTGAGCAATTTAATGTCTTACGACATACACGTGACTCAGTGGCTGATGTCCAAGACAAACAAAGAGATTAAGCTGATGACAAGGCAGAAAGTGTATTGAGAGTTATAATGTTGAAGACCTAGTATTACTTTATGCTGAGAATTTACCTACTAAGATGGTGTAAGCGGTCTGCGGGACCAAGTTGCGTCCTCGCCTCATTGGGTCGTTTACGGATGTGCCAAGAAAGGTCTAGCGTATACGCTCAACCTCCCACCCAAGATGCGAAACCACCCAGTGTTTTGCGTCGGCTGGATTATACGTTTCCTTGTTCCGTCGATTGTGGTTCACGATGCGCTTGTGCCAAAAGAATCTGACGATGCAACAAGTCGAGCAACCATCAAGAGAAGATCCAGTTGACCTTCAAGATGCGCCACTCGGTCACGCATACCGTGCACCACGTGCATTAATTGGTCGACGAGGCGCCAAGATTCACCGACCACCGTCTACTATCGTTGAAGAGCAAGGGGATCAACAGCACCATGTTAAAATAATCCTGTAGCGACTTCGTCGCGATGGTCAGAACCACTACTTGGTACAGTGGCGGAATTCCCAGGAGTCGGAGAAATTGTGTGAGTACGAAGGCTACTGCGGCAGGATTGTCCGTATGCCGTAGACGTTTTTGAACGTCTTCTTCATGGTCAGTCGGCCCTTACCGCTTCCCACTAGTCGGTGCGGGAGCGGAGGAGGTTACTGCTGAAGCAGGTGCACTGATGTGCGGGGCCGTAGCTGCCGTTGTGTAGTGGGTGCGATAGAACGATCGCAGTTGGCCTTATGTCTTTTGTCTTGCGAAAGAAAGCGCACCTTTCGCTTGAGCCTAACGTCAGTAAGTGAAGCGCTCTCTCGATAATTTTATAGGCTTGGTAGGTGACGAGCTCTGTGAGCCCAACTTGTAAACACGACATCATTTTCCGTCTCTGTATCACCAGGGAAGAGGAAGGTAGGTAATGTTTGCATGACAGACACTGATGCACCTCGTGCTTGCTGATTTAGCCTGTCGAGGTAATATTGGACGGTCATACGCTCGACCCCCGAGAACTTCGCTCTGATAGCCTTATACTCTAGTGCTGTCGATGTGTCAGCCTCTGGTTCCGTGATCCATGTTGTGAGTGGTACCCGGCAGTCTGACTAATGCGTTCATCCACATTCGGTCGTGTGAAGCGGTAAACACTGTGGGTATACGCTGTGGCTACACATTGTGCTTGACGACTGCGGTCATCGACCGACTAAAGAGATAAAGCCTGATCTTCATCAAGAATGTTGTGCAGCACACCCAACGTAGGCTCGACGACTGCACGCTGTGCAAGAGGTGAAGGTACCTCCTCGCGTTCCAAGAATGGATTAGGTGCGACGCGCGTGGTGTCACGCGCTGTTGGCGTATCTGGAGGTGGTCCATAGAAACTCGACGCGGCAATGTCACTCTCATAGCCCACTGCACCTTCTTTAAGAAATTCCTTCAGGGTGTTGGACGAAGACTTTAACTCAGTCATTTGAGATGTTGTGAGCATGACGGTCAAGGATTAGAGCTTATAATAGACCTCAAAGAACAGTATAAAGAATGTTGACACAAAGGTGTTGACAGTTTGGTGGGGAGGGTGTAACGGGGATACATGGCGTTTGTTGATCGGGTTATGTTGTGTGTCCACACCAAGCAAAGATCGACGTATCTGAGTGGTACAGTCTTGTTACCATTTACTTACGGTAATACCGCACATTATAAGGTAGGGATAAGGGATACGACTTCTGTCATAGGATAGCAATGTAGAAGACAGCAAGACAAGTTCTATGGTTTTGTTAATGTAGTTAAAGAATTCATAAAGATCGTTTCCCCTTTCAAATCGCTGGACAAAAGTGTCTAGTAAAGGCGTAGTGTGTTGCTGAGAGAATTAGCCTTGTAAAGGAGCTTACTCTTGTTTAACTAGCAGCGACCAGTTAGTGCGTGATTTTGTGAAGCACAATTATTTTAGAACCGGAATGTTGAGCTTGTACGCTTAAACGACTGTACGTCGTTGTTAGTTTATTATATCTACGAGACGCTTCAGTCTAAGACTTCCTTTGTTAAGGAGAGCTAAGTAGCTCCGATACATGTGGCGTGTAACTTTGTTCAGTTGTTTTCTGCGACGGAACGTACAAGTTAACGCTGGTAGTGGTAGAGCGACTCTGTTTGTCTTGACTTAATCCTTTTGTCGTATGTTACATCTCGGCCATCGATGCGTCGAACAACGGCGGACGCAATTGATACCTTGATTAATTTGAAATGTTCTATAGAACGAATGCAAAAAAAGCGACGGTGATCAGGCTAGATTACGCTGTGAACAACAAAGCGCGGCCAACGACACGTAATAAACTAATGATACGAAGAAACTACATTTATAGGCTTTCTTTGCTGACAACAGAGGGAAGGTGTGGAATTTTTTTTTTACGTTTATACGTTTATCGAGTACCTCAGACAAAAATCTACTTCAAAGCCGGCGCTCGCGTGTTCCTAGGAAGCAACTTTTATAACCTACTTTTTGCTTATGTTGGTGTCTATTTGTCTGTCTGTCTTTAAACAACTAGCATATTCTTCAGACAGATACACAGACATCTACACAAATTATAGTAGTCAATAAAAGCTCGTTGTTTAGTTTACGCTCAGTAACTAATAGCTCACCATTCGGGCTCGCAATAACGCTGTGTAACGGAGTCGCCCGTGACATGATATTGACACCAAACGGTGTCAATAGGGATATTGTCTAGCATGACAATATCCTACCAAAATTCACGAGGTGGATAATATTGGAAGAGTTTTATTCCCTTTTAGGATAATATTCATGTGCTGCTCAAATATCGGTTGATGTAAGACATATCAGCCATAGATAACCACAAATCTGTGCTAGACGCGCGCAATTAGTGGTGTGCAGGTTGTCGTCATACGAAGACGTAGTTTACTATAGATAAATTAAGATCGAACTTATATTGATAGCTTAACAATATAAAAAACAGTTCTCTTTTTACCCTTGACTCAGCTTAATTGTTGAGTAGATTAGCTTTGTAACGGGGTGAATCGTTCCATAACAATTTATAAGAAATTGTTAATAGAATATAACTATAAGAGTTATATTCTCAGAATATTGTCATAAGGACAAATATTCTGTAGCACTTACGAATAGTTCCTAATTGGTTGATATAGGCCATTATATCAACCAACGAAGACGCGCCACGACAGACGCACGCAATGAGTGGTGAGCAGATAACTGATATGTACATTTGTATTTAGACATAGTTAGATGAAGATAAATAGTGATTCAGTGCAGACATTAACTATTATAAATACAGTTCTACTTTTTACTTTAACCAAGTACTCACTTCTTCTTACCGTCTTCCTCTGCACGTACGAGTGTACGTGAAGTTACGAGGCACCGCCTTATTCTGTCATTAGAATAAGTAGCTTGTACTGTCACCAGTACAAGCTTCGGGGTGCCCCGTTACACCTTGTAGCACTTCGTAGTCCGTCCAAGGACCACGTTCACATCTAACATGGATATGTTGGATGATGAAGATGAACAAAGCTTTCATGCTACGCGTGACGGCTACTCCCATTTGAGCGATGTCGAATGGGATGCGGCTGAACGGATGGGTTCAACCATGGGCATCCATGCTGTTAGCGTCATGCTAGAGGCTCTCAATAGAGATGCCCAACATGCTACTATCGCCAAGTTCATTTAAAATGAACTTGACGCCGAACGCGAGATAGTAGCCTTGCTTCACCAACAAGGTTCTCAACAAGCAGAGTTGTTGAGAGAACAGGGTGCTCAACAGTTTAAACTGTTGAGACAGCAGCAGGCTGCTGCTGGCGGGTCGATGCACTCGCGTCGACCCGAAACCTTGAAGATTGACATCTCCAAGTATAGTGGAGTCGAAGAGGACTCCCCCTTGAGATGGTTCGTCGAATTGGATGACGCCACAAGGGCGCGTCGCATCGACGATGGGGAAATGCAAGTTGCATTTGCCCAGTCAAATCTGGCAGGACGTGCCAAGACTTGGGCACTGGGGCTCAAGTTGCACGGCACATATGCGTTTGGATCGTTGAAAGTCTTCAAGTCGCGGCTCAGACAAACGTTTGAACCGCCTAGAGCTGAGTTCAGGGCTCGAACCGAACTCTTGAAGCTCAAGCAGGGTAAGCGTGATGTGCACGCTTACGCTCAACATATACGACATCTCACGAGTTGTATAAGTTCCAATCCGGTGGATGAACACACGTTGGTTTCGGTGTTCATGCAGGGTCTTGCGGATGGTCCAGTCAAGACTCACCTGTTCCGACTTGAACTAGATTCACTAGAACAAGCCATTTCCATTTCGGAACAGGAAGACTTCAGTCTGAGACAGGCTCGCGCCAGCTCGACATCATATCGTCAACCGAGACGATATGACAGCGGAATCCAGAGCCGATGGAACTCTGTTATGTAGAGAGCGAGAAGGCTCGCTCTACAGGCTACAAGAAGTTGCAGAGATGCAACAGATGTCAGAAGACAGGACACTACGCTTATGAGTGTAGTGCCCCTCGTCCAGTGTCTCGCGACACTGGGCGTAGTGACCGTCCCCCTATGAGAAAGGGGCAGGGACGCGGGTCCGCTGTTGGTGCAAAGACGCAACAACGGTATGGACCGTCAAAAAACAGACAGGATCAGTAGGTGCGGAGCACCCTACTGGTCCAGCAACGTCAAGAGAATTTGTAGGCCTCTTGATGAAGGTTGCTCCCAACGCAAAAACGTTGTGCGTTGCTGCTCTAGGTAATGAGGACTCACTCATTACCTTGAAACTCGAAGTGACAAATAAGTTGTCTCTTCGAGCTCTAGTCGATTGTGGGGCGTCCAACAATTTTGTGCGACGCCAATCGCTAGAAGATGGTCACTTTAAATTCAGTGAATGTGACACACCTCCTACGAGGATGACGGTACGTCTTGCGACAGGCGCATCCGTAACCGTCATGAAGCGTATAGTGAAGATCCACTATACGCTAGAAGATACCCAATATGACGATGACTTTATCGTATTGGATTTGGATGACAAATTTGATGTCATCCTTGGAATACCGTGGCTCAGAAGGTACGAACCACGGGTAAACTGGCAACATCGAACAGTAACGATGCCTGCCGCTTGTTCATCAGATGGCCATCTGATGAACGTTTTGGAGCGTCCACAAGCGTGTGGATGTACTACGAGTGAGTGCGATGGCCTCACTTGTGGTACGGTCGTTAGTACGACTGCACAAAACCTTAGTGTACCAAATGGTTACACTTCGGAGCAAAGTTCCGGCGGCTGTGAGGAAACACAGGCTGCGCCGAAGGTCCACCACTCGAATAAGTCGAGTGGACCGGGACAAAGATGTATCCCTAGCGGGGAACATCCAGAAGAGAGACAATCGATCGCTCAGGTTAAGCGAAACGATAATCCTGGATCGACTGGAGAGTCTTTCGTAGAGGATCTCGCTGTGGTTGCACAACCCCAGCTAGAGGGTGTAAAGGGAATAAGGTCCGATGTTACAGATACGGCGGAAATAAGTTCCCCGAAACCCGCGGGAATAAGTCCCCGGGAAGCCGAAGGAATAAGTCCTTCAAGGCCTGAGGGAATAAGTCCCCAGGAAATGACAGAGACATTGAATGTCATAGTCAATAACGGATCAAGTGTAGGCGCTTATACACTTGATCTGATTGCGCCTCCGAAGTTAACTTCGGAGATCACTCAGTTGCCAACGCTCGAACATAAAAGGTTCTTGCGTGATCTGCGTAGTGGCAAAGTCAAGCAGATCTGCATACTCGTCGCTGACGACGAGTGTGTAGCCGACATAAGGTCAGCAACAGTGTTTACTGAGAACGAGAGAGTTCTCAGTAGTTCATCTATGGACGAGAGTGTCCTAGATGAAAAGACACGAGTTGAGCGATATGACTCCCAATCGTGGGAATCGCTCAAAACAAATCCTCTCTATGAAGATTTGGTTGAATTCAAGGATGTATTCCCTGAAACTGTTCCGTGCGAATTACCGAAGGATATAGGTATTCGACACGAGGTCGAGCTTAAACCAGGCTCGAAGTACTGTGTCATGAAGCAGTGGCCAGTGCCTCGTGAACAAGTACTTGCGATCGACAAGTTCTTTGCCGATCGTTTAGCTGCGGGCCATGTGAGGGAATCAACTTCCCCACATAGCTCTCCGATCTTCTGTGTGTGAAAAGCAACAGGAGGGTGGCGGATAGTGCACGCATTCAATAAGTTGAATGCTGCAACGGTACCGGCTCAGACGCCGATACCAAGGAAGGACGTAATCATTGATGGTATGTCAAAGAGTACCATCTTTTCCTCCATGGATTTGATGGATGGCTTCTATCAAATCCTTATGCGAGAACGGGATATACCCTATACCGCAGTTAGCACGCCTAGCGGCATGCTCTGGGAATGGCTAGTAATGCCACAAGGGCTAAGTAATGCCCCTGCCACGTTCAACAGATGTGTATCACATCTGTTGAGACCAGTACGAGAATTCGCGCCGAGTTATTTCGATGACGTATTCATCCATAGTCGGGATATGGATGGAAAGTCGGACGTTGAGGTTCACAGGCACCACGTCCGACAGGTTCTTACAATTATGCGAAAGCATCAATTGTATGCAAACCTCAAGAAGTTTATATTTGCAGCAAGCGAAATACCACTTCTTGGGTGCATCGTTGGTAAGAACGGTGTACGTCCTGATCCCGAAAAGATCAAGGCGATCACCGACTGGCCTGTGCCGGTTGATATCAAAGGTCTTCGAAAATTCCTTGGGCTAGCGGCGTATTTGCATAAGTATTCACGCAATTACGCCGAGATGACTGTGCACCTCTCTCGTTTGTTGAAAAAGAACGAGAGGTGGTTATGGAACGCTGAATGTCAGCGCTCCTTTGATGGTATCAAGCAGAGCTTGATACAATCCCCAGTCCTAGCGATTGCCGATCAGGACAGGCCATTTCATGTGGTCTGTGATGCCAGCGATTTCGCAATCGGCTGTGCATTAATGCAGTACGATCTTGAAGGCGTTGAACGCGTCGTCTGCTATCAGTCGCGTCAGCTGCAACCAGCTGAGCGGAACTATCTAGTGCATGACAAGGAACTCCTTGCCATGAAGTATGCACTCGCGAAGTTCAGAGTCTATCTATTAGGAGATAGACCCTTCATTGTTTACACTGACCGTGCGTCATTACGCACGGCAGTGAACAGCCCGCACCTTTCACAACGAATGGTGCGGTGGTTGTCATTCTTTGCAGAATACAACTTTACCGTCGAGTACAAACCAGGACGACTTAATGTCGTCGCTGATGCACTCTCACGTCGTCCCGACCTTGAAATAGTCGCGAAACCCAACAGTGAGACAGTCACTGTTGCGGTTATGACGTCCTCAGTCCCATCTACAACGTTGTATGATGATGTGAGGCGGGCATACGCCCAAGATGGTGAGATAGTGAAGTTGTTGACACATCTCTCCCAACCATCCCGAGAATCGTTGAAACGATTGTCGCCTGCGTATCGATCTGCATCAGATCGATACACTACTCGTAACGGTTTACTGTATTATACAGCCGTTTCTGGTGACACACCACGTGCTGTCATTCCAGATGATACTGATCTGCGTTTGCGGATCATGCCCGAGTATCACGATGCTTCTATAGGAGGACATCGTGGCCGGGAGAAAACATATCTCACGGTAAGTCGAGACTTTTACTGGCCCCGCCAGTATCAGTTTGTGCGAAAGTATGTTCGCGCATGCGAAGTCTGTCAACGAGTGAAGTCAAGTCCTTCACTGCGTGCACCTTTACAGCCTCTACCGGTTCCGGCAGAGTGCTTGGATTCCATCTCAATGGATTTCGTCTTCGGGTTACCCAAAGACGCACGCGGGAATACGGGTATTCTCGTATCTGTTGACAGATTCAGCAAAATGGTACACCTTGTGGCTGTACCAGAGACAATCACGGCAAGTGGCTGTGCTTGTGTCTTTATTGACACCATCTTCCGACTTCATGGGTTGCCCTGTGAACTCGTATCAGACAGAGATCCACGATTCACTGCTGATTTCTGGCGTTCCGTGTTCAAATCACTCGGAACGCGCTTGAAGATGTCTACATCTGATCATCCAGAGTCAGATGGTCAGACGGAACGTGCCAATCGTGTCCTTGAAGAGATACTTCGAGGATACGTACACTCCTTTAAGAGTTGGAGTGCGTTTTTGCCAATGGTAGAGTTTGCCATTAACAACTCGGTGCATGCGTCCACGACACATACACCGTTTTACGTGAATGGCTTGCGCCATCCGCGTGTACCCACCTTACTAGAGCGTAACTCTGGTTTAAGGGGGGGAGGGACTCGCGCGAGCAAAAACCGATTTGGTTCACGCTCATCACGCTCTGACGAGGAAGTCATTGCGTTTGATGCCGATATTGATAACATCGATATCGAAGAATATGATGCCAGTGAGAGTGCGGAGCCCTCACTGAAGAAGATGATCCCAGTGAGAGTGCGGAAGCCCTCACTGAAGAAAAGGTTGATGTTGCTGCAGTGCGCTCACAGCACACTGAAGCTAACGAGTCATCAGATGAGTTCATACTGGCTCGTGAAACGGTAGTCCGTTTTGTGCAAGACTCCATCGCCGAAGCGGTGGATAAGCAAAAGCAAAACGCTGACAAGAATGGAAGGGCAAACACTCTTTTATATAATAAAGGTGACTTAGTCCTACTGTCTACGGTTAATCTACCAAAGCATGTAGTGACTAACTTGGGTAGCAGTAAACTACTACCCAAGTACATCGGCCCTTTTCGTGTATTGCACCGCCTAGGCAATGCATACACGATCGAGTTGCCACGTAAGATGCGAACGCATCCCACGTTTTACGTTGGTCGGCTTAAGCCGTACCATCAGTACGCTGCTTCTTCCGATGAAGAACGCCCTTGCGCTCAAGCATCTCGCAGAGAGCCTTGTGCTCCCGATGGTGGGCATCAACAAGGGTCTGAAGAGCAGTTATCTCAGCCCGAGACCGATCAACAATCCCACGAGCTACCCTTAGCTCGTCACGAAGAGATGTCAGAGATCTCTCGTTCTCGAGCTGAGCAAAGGCAAACTCAGCTCGATGCTTCGAGGCAGTGTCCGCCATTTGGATACGCCTATTCCGCTCATGTTCGAGATCGTCGCGTAACCCTTGCGTCACGCGATCAAAGAAGCTCTCGGGAACACACCGATCCACATGATCGTGTGGAGAGCGTCTTTCCTCCTCCTCCACCTCCATTAGAGGACTCTCGCGGTGGCCAGCGCTATCTAGTTGAGCAGCTGTTGAACCACCGCGACGTGAACGGACGTCGGACGAGTTATCTCGTACGGTGGCGCGGCTATCCCCCGTCTTGGGATACTTGGGAGCCCCGCTCCCAACTGATGATCGACGTACTGGGTCT